ATTGTATTCTATAGAATAGAATTCTATTGTATTCTATAGAATAGAATTCTATTGTATTCTAATGACAAGCAGGATATTTTCCCAAAAACCTGGGAAGACATATATGAACTTATACAAAGTGAAGTGAGCAGAACCAGGAGCACATTGTACACAGTAGCAGCAATATTGTAAGGATGACCAACTGTGAAAAGACTTATCTACTCTATATTGTACACAGTAACAGCAATATTGTACAATTATCAGTTGTGAATTTGGAACTCCAAATTGTAAAAACAGCAAAGGTTAAGAATTGTTTTTATGTAACTAGAAAAAAATAAAATATTAAAGAGAAAAAAATTTAAAAAAGAAAGACTTAGGTACTCTGATCAAGACAGTGATCCAAGACAATTCCAAAGGGAAAATGCAATTCATTGCCAGAGAGAGAGAGAGAACTGATGAATTCTGAATACAGATTGAAGCATGTTTTTTTTTTTAAAACTTTATTTTCAGTGTTTGAGTTTTCTTTGGCAACATGACTAATGTGGAAATGTGTTTTGCATGACTTCACATGTATAATTGAAATCAAATTGCTTGACTTCTCAAGGAGGAGGGAAAGGCTAGAGGGAGGGAGAGAATTTGCAAGTCAAAATTTAAAAAATTGTTAAAAATTTTAACATGTAATTGGGAAATATTTAATGAAATAAAGAAAAATACACTTAAGAAATTTACTTCTGAACTTGGATGCTGAAGTGATAGTATGCAACAGAGTTTTCATACAACTTTTTACATTAAATTCAGCTTGTGCTATATTAAATACCAGTCCTGCATCTTGGTTTTTTTTTTCAGCATAGTTATTGCCCAAGGCAAGGAGTTTTGATTTCTATAAAACTTTAGATTTGAAAAAAAATCCATAAGATTATGTAAATTAAGGGTGAAATTACAGAATTTAAAAAATCTGTGAACTGCATCTTATTCTCTGAAAATTATTTTGTTCACTAAAGATATCTACTTAGTAAAAATGATCCTATGATTTTTAGGATAGATAGTGCTAAACTCATCTAGACTCTCTTGTCTCTTGTAGCGGTACTACTATTATATCCACCATGGCATTGATACAGAGCACGTAGCTCCAATGGAAGATTCTTGGCTAGAACATGTCTTGGAATTAGTCCCCAAACACTTGAAAGTACTCACTGACAAAATACTTATACTGTCGGATGAAATGAGAGAAGATTATCTTCTCAGTGTAAAGAAATCCATTGGTAATTTTTTTTTTGTTTTTTAAAATTGTTTTTATTACAACTGTTATATTACCAACTGAGAAAAAAAAAGTAACTAGAATTTGTGGAGCACTTTAAAAGGATAGTGCAGTGAATGGAGTACTGGCCTTGGTGTCAGAACTGGATAAAAGTCCCACCTTGACACTTAACATCTCTGTGACCCTGGGAAAAGCATTTCATCTCTGTGTTTCAAACAACTCCCAAAGACCATATTGTCACAGCATCATAGATTTAGAACTGGAGAGGACGGACCTCAGAGGTCAACAATCTAACCTTCTCATTTTATAGATAAGGAAACTGAGCCCTGGAGAGGTGAAACGATTTTCCAGGGTCAATCACACAGCTAGGTAAGTGTCTGAAGTGGGACTCCAGGTCTGTCAATCTATTTGTTCCCGCTCCAAGTGTTCCTTGCAATGAGAAAAATCACAATTCCTTCATATGTGTGCATGTATATATGTGTATGTGTATATGTATAATATGCATATATGTGTGTGTGTGTGTGTGTGTGTGTGTATCTGTGAACCATACCTTATTCTCTGAAAAACACACCCATTATCTTCTAAGGCAGGGCTGGGGAACCTGCGGCCTTGAGGCCACATGCGGCCCTCTAGGTCCTCAAGTGCAGCCCTTTGACTGAATCCAAATTTCACCGAACAAATCCCCTTAATGACAGGATTTCTTCTGTAAAACTTGGACTCAGTCAAAGGGCTGCACTTGAGGACCTAGAAGGCCACATGCGGCCTCAAGGCTGCAGGTTGCCCTCCCCTGTGAAGGGTTCAGAGAGGGTGCACCATGTGAATGGAGGAAGAAGTGATGAAGCTGTGAATCTTTGAAGTGTTAAAAGATTGAATATGTCTTCATTAAAGAGTAGCTTTCTTAAACTTAACGTTGGTATCTACTGGACGCATTTATGAATCTGCTGTTCATGTGCAGTATTTCATACACTGCTCTTAGATTCATTTAAGTCCTGAGCAGACTTCATCAGTACCATGAAAGCAGAAACAAAAGTGAGAAGTTAAACATGTTGTGTGTTATTGGTGGGTAGTTTTGTTGGTGATAAAGAGAGCATTACAATACGAGATGTAACTGAAGAAAACTATAAAAAAAAACTGTTATACTGTCAAACCAGCCTTCATTTTTTTGAAGACCTGTTATGAACTATTATGAGCCTACGAAATATTAGGTACTCTAAATGATAAATATAGCATTGTGAGTTCAAACTCACAACTAGTTGGTGAGATAAATATAAACATCAAATATTAAATGACAATAAAAACAACAGTATAAGTGATGTCACAGATCAGTAAATGAAAGACAGGGATCTGTCTCTTGAGACAAAGACTGTTGTCTAGATATATAGACTAGATAACATCTTTATCAATAGACTTGTAAAGACTACATTGTTTACCAGTAGACCATTCTTTAAAATAACTTAAGCATTTGCTTTTAAAGACCATTTCATTTTCATATTTGTGTTTAAATGCAATGTGTATAAGTACAAGGTTATTTACCAGAATGTCTTGTATTTTTTTCAGTTGACTTTGTTTTAAGAGACCCTAGGGAAAAAGAGGAAGACAAAAAGAAAGAAGAGCTTCCACCGCATCGTTTAGAGTAAGAAAACATACTTCATAAACATAGATTATATAGAAAGTAATACATATGGATGTCTATATGTTTATATATTAAGAGTATTTCTCTTTATCACTGTAAAAGTATGTCTCTTGCCCATATAAGGTTATGTGAAGTGTATAGAGGAAACATTTGAATATATGTTCATATGCATTTATAAGAAACATATTATGATTGTAGGATCAGGAAGGGACCTTTATTGTACTACCTTGTTCAATTCCTTCATTTTACAGATTTGAAAACTGAGACCCAAAAAGTCAAAGTGACTTGCTCACAGCTACATAGGTAATAACTGAGAAATGGAATTCAAACCCAGCTGTCTGGACTTCTGTGCTCTTTCCGCTGTATTGCTTTGCCTCTCAGATAAATCAGTTGTTATGAACTTTGACCCATTCCTTAATAAAAATAACTAACCTTTAGAAATGCATTCTTCAAATAGCATTCATAATTGGAACCAGGTTCATTTTTCTAAGTAACAAGCTCAAGATCTATATTTATATCTAGTTAGTTTTCTTTCATAAAAATATACTCTAAATTGTTTTCCAAGATTAAAAAAATGCCAGAATGAGGTTAGGGAAGGCATATTTGAGGAACATCTAAAAAGATGATGAGATCCAGATGTGCAATTTGATTGGCATCAATAAGAATGAGTAGTGATCCAAAGCCAAATTTAAATGTCATTTGAAAAATCTATTAGTGAGAGAGTAAAGGGATAAAATGATTTTTAAGTTAGGTATAACGAAAGAATAAAGAGGAATAGAGAGCCCTGAGAACAGGGATCAGTGGTCTTAGAATTCTTTCGATTGAGAAACAATATCAGTAATTTTTTAAACTGGTGAATATGTTTGTAGGGGTGGGGGAAATGATACCTCTGCAGCTACTGCTGCTACTATGGGTGCCCACATCAGTTGGGTTATAACTGTCTTAAAGAACTGATATCCTGGATTAGAAGTGGGGAAAGGAGGTTGGGAGTTTGCAGAAAAGTGTTGGGCTGTGGGAGGTAAAGGTTAGGTGGAGATAAGCCCCATGGGTGCTACCCAAATGAGGTGAGATTTAACACATCTTCCCTCCTATTGTTTAATCAAACACATCTTGGGGTCAAGCCACAGTCATTTTGAGGGTTATGCCATGGTCCCCAAGGTGCCCTAAGTTTTCTGTTTGGAGACCATTGATTTAGGTTATAGGAGCTGAATTATGAAGGAATGGATTTTCAAATAAGAATGTCAAAGTTAGGATATGTTAACACAGAAAGAATTTATACATGTTAATGGAGAAAAAGTTTCAAGGAATTTTCAAAGACAGACTAGAATGTATCCATGAAAAAAATAAGAATAAAGGAAATAATTTGAATTGTACTCTGAAATAAATAGGAAATCTGTGAAAATGTTTATGGAGTAGCATAGATGATTGACCTTTTCTATTAGATTTTTGTAATTCATTATAGTATTGAGTCAAAGGATTAATAGAAAAATAAGTTTGATCTAATTACATAAACACAAATTTTATAGTTTTAATTACAAATATATAACTTTAAACAAAAAGTGTCAAGATCCTTACTTCTTCTCCAGATGCTATACTAATAGAGTAGAGATAGAAATTATCTTAGAGTTGTACTCTAAGACATGAAGCCCATCTGCCTGGCCTGCGGCCATATCACATCAACTGTGACTGTTCCTCTGAATTTGACTGATGGATACCATCTCTCCATTTTCTTCCATCTAGAGACACAGGATCTTAGGTCAATGTACTTGGTATCCTGTGAAATTAGAGATGAGGCACTGCTGTTGGCACCAAAACTTAAATGGACAGGTTCCAAGGGAGTAACATTGATTCATGTAAATAAAGATGTAATGATTTAATCAGGGAACCTTCCCACCAGCTTGATTAGTTCCTGCTAGAGTGCACACCATGGAGCATGCCCAGACCCGAGCCTATTCCTATTGCATGTCACGTATACTGTTCTTGGAGCTGGGCTCCTTCCAATCACGCATGTATCTTGGCCCTTTGCAGTAGGCCATGTGTGCCAGAAAGACTTGGCACATTGGAATGACACATCAATCCCTTGCCCTACAATGGTGGCTCATAATGGAGGGAGGAAGGAAAAGAGAGAGCCAGATGATTGAGTCAGTCTTTTTAAGGTCTTCTGAACTCTTCCTGCCTCAGGGACAAATCCTCTTAGTTGTAGCCCTCTCCTCCTGGTGCCATCGTGGGAGATTGCTGTGAATACGCCTGCCATATAGAAGCAAAAACATTCACCCAAACTGCTAGCTTACGGGTTTCAGGTTTATACTGCCCTGTAAGTAGTCTTCTCAAGCTGCTCAGTGCTTTTCTATAACATCACAGAATCTCCGAATTAGAAGGTACCTCAGAGGCCATCCATCTAGTCCAATCAACACCTGACCAAGAATTCCCTCCATGGTGTCCCCAGCAAGTAGCCATCTAGCCCTCGTTTGAAGGTACTCCTTCAAATTAGTAGTGTATTACCCCCTGATGCACTCCATTCTACTCTTGGATAGTTCTAGCTGTTAGGAAATTTACCTTTCCATTGAACTAAAATCATCTCTCTAACTTCCATCCATTGCTCCTAGTTATTAAGTGCCAAGTAAGTCTGATGCCTTTCCTACTTGAGAGTCCTTCAGGTACTTGAAGACAGCCATCACCCTAATTCTTCTTTTCTCTAGATGGAATCTGATCAGTTCAGAGTATAGAAAGGTATCACGTTTAAGTGTGATAGTCACGATAAGTGATAGAGTCAGTTCACTAACCCTGAGCAGTCCTCCCAGTTGATGCTGGTAGTGCCAACTAGCCCGGTTTGGCTTATTTTGAGCTGTGCAACCACCACTTATTCTCTTGCCACACTTCTGACTGTACCTGCATATTCCTCTTTTTCTATGGACACAGTGTTTTAACAGCCAGTTGTTGAACATTTTATTTGAGAGGTGAAGCTTTGTCCTTGTTCATGCCGACTTGTTTTCACAAGGGCCTCTCCTGTACGTAAAGAATGTGGTCTTCTCCAAGTGGTTGCTACCCTGCTTTTCCCAACTGATAATTCTCTTCACTACATTGCAGAGTATGGCAGCCATGTATATGCTATGATCATAGCCAAAATATAGATGTCCTTATACTCATTTTTTAAAAATTATAAAAAATTTAGCAATATATTTTCCATTTTTATCATAAAAGGAAAGCATCACATTTAATCTTCTGGTCATTTCTACTTACTGAGATCCTACCCATCCTTTAAGCCCCAACTCAGATGCAAATTCTTTAATTAAGCCTTTAGTGATATACTTTACCTAGAAGTAGTATTCCCTCCTCAACACTTTGTACTTCTCTTACGAATTTATGCTCTGCTTCTATATTATAGCTATTTGTGTGCCTTTATGATTTCTCCTAATAAATGTTAACCTCCTTGAAGTCACTGTTGTATTTTATTTTTCTGTACATCTTCTTCAGCTCCTACCTAGTTGTGCACATGGTAGGTGTTTAATATATGTTTAAATTGAATTGTATTTAAAATGTTATAAAGCCATTGTTACTGAAAAGAATATTGAATTTTTTTTAAAGTGTTTTATTTTGATTTGGGTTGTTTTCTCCTTGCCTTTAGGATGAAAATTCTGCCAAAACCTTGGAGGAAGTCTTTTTTTGCAGCTTGCAGTTTTATTAGAGATAATTTAAATGCAATGAACCCTACAATGCTTGCTGTTCTAGATCTGTGGCAGACTTCTTTTAAGTAAGTAAATCCTGCTTTTATTAACATTGTTAAATAATGTTCTGATGAAAGTAATACTGATCATCTTTTTGTTAAAATTAGCCTATTAAATTTTTAGTAAATTACTCGAGGGCAAAGAGTGTATCATTTTTAGCTTTGCTTTTTATTCCTTGCATCTAGCACAGTATTTGGCACAGAGAAACTTAATAAATATTTTTTAAATTTAAAAACTTGATCACAATATGCACTAATTGATTGTCTTAGAAGGTAAAGTAGCATTTCTGTACAATAGTGCTGAATCGCAAGATGCCTCATAGGTTAACTGTACCCTAATTTTTATAAAAGGAATTATTTACAGAGAAGATCTTGCAAGAACAGAAGAAAAACATATCTGCTTGAGCTGGGGCATCTTCCCCTTGGTCCCTGGGGAGAGTAGGGTAAAATTTAAAGTAGTTGCCACGAACTCTTGATCTCATGAAGTTCACTTCCAAATGTGGCATCTCCACTAGATGAGTTGCTCCCTTGTTGTAGGACCTGGAATTAGCTCGATCAAACAAGTTGCTCCTTAGTGGGCTCAACTGCAAATTCTAGGATGTACTCATGTTGCTGAACCTCTGCTTTCCCAAACATTTGAACTCTCACAAGGCCCTTAAGAAGACACAGGAACATAGGATGGTGGAGCAGCTAGGTGGCACAGTGGATAGGAGCACCAGCCCTGGAGTAAAGAGGAACTGAGTTCAAATCTGGCCTCAGACACTTACTAGCTGTGTGACCCTGGGCAAGTCTCTTAACCCCAATTGCCTCAAAAAAAAAAAAAAAGACCTCGGCAGAAGTCAGCCCTGTCCCAGACACAAACTTGTCCAGGGAATCATGTGCTTACCTGCTTCATGGTGGTGAGAAGAAGCTTGAAGTCTCTCTCTCTTACCTGAAGGCTCACATCAATTTGGCCCCCTCACTGGAACACAGCCAGGGAGAAAAAAGACTGATATGACTAGTTAATGCCTTTTGTATGTATGTTTAGTTCTGTCTCAGCAGTCATTCAAAAAACTCCTCTTTGCCGAATAAGTGAAGAAGAAACAGTCATAGATACTTTGAAGTCCATATAGGGGATTAAGTCAAGTACTGATACACCCCCTTCCTTTTCACACTTTTCAATTATTCCTTTTTAGTTTCTTGACCTTCTGTTCTTCCATTTGAATTTCATTATTCTTTTTTCTAGCTCTATAACATTTTCTTTGTGGAATTTGATTGGTAAAGCACTGAATAAATAAATTAGTTTAGGTAATATTGTCTTTTTTATTATATTGACTTAACCTACCTATGAGCAATTAATGTTTTTCCAATTTTTTTAGCTCTTTATTTCTGCAAAGAGTATTTTATACTATTTTATACTCAACATTTTATAGTTGGATTCATATAATGCCTTGATGAATCTTGGTAGATACATTCCCAAATATTTTATAGCTTCTATAGTTATTTTAAATGGAATTTCGCTTTCTAGCTCTTCCTACTGAGTTTTGTTGGTTAATTATAAGAATGCTGATGATTTACTTGGATTTCTTATATGTCCTACAACTTTGCTGAAGCTAATAATTTCACTTAATTTCAATTGACTGTCTGAAGTTCTCTAAGTACACCATCAATATTCCCTCAACTTCTTTTCTTTGTCTTATTGCTATATATAGCATTTCTAGCACTGTTACATGGTAGTGCTGATAATGGGCATCCTTCCTTTACCCCTGATTAGAAAGTCCTCTAACTTTTCTCCATTATGTGTGTTTACTCTTGGATATAGGGAAATATTATTCATTGTATTAAGGAAAAGTTTACTTATTCCTGTAATTACTAGTTTTTAATTGAAATTGGTTGTTGAATTTTGTTGAAAGCCTTTTCAGCATCTATTGACATCATCATATATTTTTATTACTTATATAATTAAAATATGTAAAATTAAATAATATATTTAAATAACTAAAATAATTAAAAAGAAATAATTATATACTCATGTAAGTTTATATAATTATGTAAACTTTGTATAATTAAAATATGAATCATTCATATAATTATTTATATAATTATATTTATAAAACTAAAAATTATAGAATCAAAATACAAATAAAATGTAATATAAATTTATATAATTATATAATTATTTATAGTCTTTCTTATGTTGAATCAACCCAGAATTCTTGTTTTAATCCATACCTAGTCATAGTACAAAATCTCATATATTGTACACTATGATATTTTATTTAAAGTTTTTACATCTGTGTTCACTAAGAATATTGGTCTTCCCACCTCACCCCCTTTTTCTGCTTGGTCTCTCTTTTAAGTATCAAGTCCTTACTTGTATTCTTAGAAATTGGCAAGCTATCTTCTATTGTTGCAAATAATTCATGTTGTGTTGGAATTAATGGTTCTTTGAGTATTTGATAGAATTAACTTGTAAATCCATCTGATCTTGGAGTTTTTCCCCCCCCTTTGGGAATTCATTTAGGGATTTTCAACTTCTTTTTCTGATATTGGATTATTTAAATGGTCTGTTTCCTTTTTTGTTAATCTGGATGGTTTATATGTTTCCTATTTCATCTCAGTGTTCAGTTTCATTAGCATGTAGACAAAATAATTTCTGATAATTTCCTTTAGTTCTTCTTTAGTTGTTATGAGTTCTTTTTCATTGTTCATATGAATACTTTAGTTTCCTTTATCTTTAGGAGGGCATTATATCAGTCAGAGCATGCTATTTATGCTTATAAGGACTGGACTTTCACTGGCACAGATTCTGGTTTCTTGAAGAGAAGCATATGTAGCTCTGTGGCCCCTTCAGGGAACCAGATGGCACCACAAGGATAGGGAACCATGTAGCCATAGAGAAGGCAGTGGGCAGAGTTAGTAGTGGAATTGTGGAAAAATTGTGTTCAAGCAGGGCTAACCTGGTTGCTGTAGGTTATGTGAGCTGGCAGTACTAGAAGAATACCTGGTCAAACACAGGAATGCTTAGACTATGCTTTCTAAGTACAGAAGAGTTCTTGTACAGTGAAGATTTTCTGGATAAATAGGAGAATTCTTAGACAAAACAGGACCTGAACCGAAGACCCTTGATGGAGAAGAGCAAACCCGGACCTTCCCACGCACTGATACTATGCACTAGGACTGAAGTAAATGACATGAGTTTTTTTAAAAGAAGAGATTCTAAAATTTTTTAAAAAGCTGTGCATACAGCATCTATAGACAGTGCTTTGATTTTCTTACTCTGTGTGTAGTATCCTGGTTAAATTTTAATGTTCCATTTAAATAGCGAATACTATTAGTGTTAGTAAATACGTTTAGTAATAGTATTGGCTATTAAACTGGAACGTTAGCTAACAGTTTTAAGTCTTTCAATTTTATAACATCTTAGGCAGAAGGGAATTGGAAAAATAAGGAAAGTGTAACTATGTAAATATTATTAATCAAGTCATTTACCAAGTCTAAGCATAAAGAGCACCAAAATTTTAACTCCTAGAGTACCAAACTTGAACATAACAAATGACGTCTTCTATTATTATTTTATTAATTCTGTAAAATTTTGGTATGCCATTGTAGTAAGCTGAAAAGGTAAGTTTTTTATGTCTAGTTATGTTTAGTATTTTCTAATTTTGTAGTAGAACCTTATCCAAGCTTCATAGAACTCAAATGTACAGAATTATGGACGGAATTGGGGTGATTCTTATATAAGCATTTATTTCTAAAAATGTCCCTGAGAAACTTAAGAGATCTCAAGAAACAAATCATATGTAGTGATTTTGGTAAGAAAGCAGGTTAAGACAGATTCTTTTTCTTTATTTGAGTAGCTTATTCAAATGTGACGTTTTTCCATTCTGACATTAGGGACCATGAAGAAAATTGTCTGTTGTCAGAGGATATTATCCTAGAACTTCTAATGCTTTCCTTGATCAGGATGCTCTGTCTACTTCTGGAGATTCAAATTTTTCAAACACCAGGATAATAATTCAGAGGTTGAATTGAATCACTTTTTCAATGCAGTCATTTCAGTATTAAAACAAATTCATTAAATATTCATTTTTAAATTAATCAAAGAAAAATAGAAAGACAAGAAAAATATGAATTAAATTCTCATGGGTTTTTTTAGATTTATGATCTAACTTATAGCCACAGACAGGACCAGTGGGGGTAATATGAAACAATTTTGGTAAAGTATTTTGTAAATCTTAAACTGATATGTAAATTCCAAATGCCAAAGTGGATTTTAATTGAGCAACATCTTCATTTTGTCTAAAGAGAGTAATTTTTGACTGTTCATCAGACCAATAGAATACTGACATTTTAGTAATTGAGCTAAAAGACATTTAATTTTTTAATCTTTTTTTTGAATGACCTAATTAATCTTACTACTGACTCAAGAGTTTCAGTCTTATTTAAATGAAAGAATTACTAAATAGCCAGTAAAATTTATCTGGTAGTATCTTTCTCTTAATAGATTGTCAAATTGTCAGGTAATATTAAAGAATTCAGAATATTTTATATTCCTAAATTGATATACCTTAAGTAACCTTGATTAAGTTAGACAGCAAATTGTCTTATATATTTTGTAAAGAGAAATGAGAAGTTCTTAAAATAGTCTTTTTTTAAAGTTGGTGAATATCACTAAAAATATTTTGATCAATAATGAGTGTTTTTAGAGTTCTCTGATTTAGAACCTTACTCTAGACAGATAACCTTTGTATATATTTTGTAAGTAGGAGGCAGGTAGGTGGCTCACTGGATAGAGCTCTGGGCCTGGAGTCAGGCAGATCTGAGTTCAAATCCAGCCTCAGATACTTATTACCTATGTGACACTGGGCAAGTCACTTAACCTCTCTTTGCCTTAATGCATTGTTGAAGAAAATGGTAAACCGCTCTAGTATCTTTGCTAAGAAAACCTCATGGACCATATGTTCCATAGAGTCATGAAGAGCTGGACGTGAGTGAATGACTGAACAGCAACAAATAGACGTACATATTTTCTTCCCCAATACAAT